CCGGAATGGTTACACTTGCCAACGACCTGCATCCTGCAAAGGCTCCAACTCCAATCTGCGTCACTGAGTTGGGGATGGTCACACTTGCCAACGAGCTGCATTCTGCAAAGGCACTCATGCCAATCTGGGTCACTGAGTCCGGGATGGTCACACTTGCCAACGAGCTGCACTCTTCAAAGGCTCCATTCCCGATCTGGGTCACTGAATCCGGGATGGTCACGCTTGCCAACGAGCTGCACTTTCCAAAGGCATTACTCCCAATCTGGGTCACTGAGCTGGGGATGGTCACACTTGCCAACGAGCTGCATCCTGCAAAGGCTGCTTCCCCAATCTCCATCACTGAGTCCGGGATGGTCACACTTGCCAACGAGCTGCAATCAGCAAAGGCTCTACTCCCAATGTGGGTCACTGAATTGGGGATGGTCACACTTGCCAACAAGTTGCAGCCCCAGAATGCCTCTTGAACAATAGCTGTTACACCATTTGTGATTTGAACCACAAACAATGACTCCGAGTGGCGACGGTCTGATTTAGGGCGAGTGCCGTTTTGGTTGTCAGCAAGTTGGGCCAACTCACGTTTGTTGGAGCATGTCACGGTATTTTGTCTCAAAATGACAGTTGCTTCTGATTCTGGAGACAGGCCTGCGCCTGCAGCTGTCTCGTCATTCTTCAGCATTCTGCTGGCCCCCACGACAATGTCCACCCGAGTTGTTTTGCGTGTGAGTTCATCGTCCCAAAGCTGGCACTCTTTGATCCGCGCCTTGAGTTCTCGACCAGTCATGTCTGGCATGACTTCAAGAATCATCGCTTCACCATTCAGCTGTCGAAATGACACCTTCATGGCCATGGCTCTATCTGAAAATGTCGATGTAACACAGGACTTGGAAGCGCATGTCGCGGTTCTACAAATTGTCCTACAATTGATGTCCAATATCGTCTAAAAGCAGAAAAATAACCTTGATTCCTTCAAAAATGCCCTACTTGAGATGGCCATATCATCTAAGTCTATTGTCCTTTTGACAACTTCAGGGTTTGGACTCCTTCTTCTTCCGCGTTTGGAACCGAATGACTCGGGCGCGTCGGGCATGGAACCGTTCGGAGAATCCGAACAGACGTTCCAAACATGGATCGATCTCATCCATCAACGGTCACGGGTGCAAGAAAAAGGATCATAGAAACCCATCTCATTTTAGGTGAGAGAGACTACAAAAACACAAAAAGACTTACCACATGTCTCATAGGAGCAAAAAGACTTCCAAATGTCTTTTTGGAGTCGAACACGGTCGCGGATCCGTTTGCTTTCTGTTGGCTTCGCCGTTTGGTTCGAGCCATCGCCAGTTCCGTACTTTCGATTCCACTTTGCTCAACTCTTCCGGACGAAGCCAACGAAGCCAACGAAGCCCGGACGACTTGCGGTTGCTGTTCGCTGCTTCACCGAGTTCGGGCCCAAAGGGGTGCGGGCCCGTGCGTGGAGTGAAGGAAGGAACCCCCCGTCGTTTTGAAGTGGAGAACACGTCGTCGACTTCGTTCCGCAGTCGATGTGATTTCCTTTCTTTGACAGCTGGCTGGATGAGCTCATTTCGCATGGGAAGATCGATGCTACCAACAGCCAATTCTTCCAAAGGGGTTTCCTCGGACAATGAGGGACTAAGGTCAATCTGGACCCCCGAACACGGCAATGCACAAAAAGAATGAGATTGTCAAA